AAAAAAGTTGCTCGGCTATTTTTTGTGTGTCTGTGTGCTTGTGTTGTACTTGTCTGTCGATGCGTTCCCCCTCTCTTCTGTTGTGCTGTTTTTGTACAATTGAATTTTGTCGATAAACAAATAAACAGAAATGGAAAATAGAATGGTTGAAGAATAAGAATTGGCGCCACCGATGGCAGATTCTTCTGTTCTTCGTTTTCCAATGCACTTGCTGCTGCTGCAGTTGTCCCTCCTGTTGTGCACAGCCGCGGAGAAAAACCAGAGAACCCCGTTTGCTGCTTTTGCACCCAAAAACTGTTCATAGCCATTTGCTAACACACATTTGCNTGTCCCTCCTGTTGTGCACAGCCGCGGAGAAAAACCAGAGAACCCCGTTTGCTGCTTTTGCACCCAAAAACTGTTCATAGCCATTTGCTAACACACATTTGCCAGAGCCAGAACTGTACAGAGAAGGAGAATTCGACAGGCACAAAAAAGTGGCAACTGTTGTTTACTTTTTGGAGAGCAACTTTGCGCCGACTCTGAAGTTAGGCGCACTTTTAGAAAGAAAAAGAGCCACATTTTTAATATCTAAAGGGGCCAACAAATAAAAACCACGATTATCTTCAGTATTCTAGCAAATGCAGATAAATCATTAAAAAGTGTAAAGAAGAAGCAGGAGCAATTTATTTTTTCAGCACTTCAACACTTCAGCAGCAAGCAGCAGCGCGTACAAATTCTACTGTCAGGCTGTAAATCAAAAGAAGAAGCACCGAATTTCTCCGTCTTCTTCTTTAAGTTTGATTACTTTTCACGTTTTTTCAGTGGTATCTGCTACTCACAGCTCACACTCTAAATCGATTTATTGCCACATGCTCATGTGTGCTGTTGCTAAGTGTGCTGAGCAAAAAAAGTGGAAAAATATGTAAGCATAACCATTTTTAACCACTTCCACATGCTCCTCCTTCTGTTCCAGCTGCAGAATAAGAAGAAGCAACAGCAGCAATGCGCAAGATAAGAGAGACCGCAACAGAGGAGAACACTGTTGATACTCTTAATGACCGCAACTCACCGGGGTCAAGTGGCCGACCGCTGAAGGGGTCAACTGATCATTGGGGGCCCTGGGCCTAGGTAGGGCCTAGTGTGCGGTACCTAGGTGCGACAGTAGCAGCAGCAGTGTAATTAGCAGCAGGCGACCACGGCGGCGGCGGCGGCGGCTGTGTCGCCAACTTATTAGCCGCAAAATCGTCGTCAGAAAGTCGCCAGCCGTCTTAGCAGCCGACACTCGGAAAGTGCGTCAATGAATGTGCACATCCCTCTCTCCCCAGCAGCAAAAACAGCACATTTGGCCAGTGTCTGTTTATTTGTCTCCTCTCTCCCTCGAGTACTGTTGCTTCTGCTGGTCGACGTCTGTTGCTTCATTCGTTGGCTGGTCGATTCTGTTGATATTCTTTCTCTGTCTTCCTTCCTTCCACTCTTCTTTCTTATGAAGTAAAGAGGGTAATCAGCTAAAGAACTGAAAGTGGCAGCAACAGCTGTATCTGAGAGGGTGACTCGACTAAAAGAGGAAGAGTGCATTCTGACACAGTCGCCTGGGAATGATGTGCACCAGTGTGTCAGTCACATGGTGCCACTTGGTCGCCAGTGAAGATTAAGACGCTACTGATGCTGATGTTCTCTTCCTTTGCCCTTTGACTGACTGACTGACTGAGCGCCAGACAGTGTCTGACAGACAGAATCGGCGAGTATTTAATTCAGTGACCAGTGTCTTGTTCATTCATTTTCATTCTATGTGACCAGCAGCTTTCTACCACTTCGACACCTTTTTGACTGTTGTGATACTTTCCATCTTAATTTTTAAACTTGTTCCGCTGTTTTCTTTACTCATCAACTATGCACTTTTACTTTAAGTAAGTACAGACTGAATGATCATGAATGAGTCATTGACAATGATGATTTACTAAAAAAAAAGTTTGTGTGCTCTCCTTTTGTGTCTTGATAAACACAGACTAAAGGCATCAGCACTAAAGTTCAAAAGCGTGTGCAGACAGTAAACTATTGCCAACCAATTTTTCTCTCGTCATAAATCACGCCAATAAGCAGCCAGCAGCAGGCCATGTGCATAGTGAAATGAAGCAACCCAAACACCGGTTCTATTTGGTTTAGTTCTGTGCTCGTGTACTCAAAGTTCAGCTAAAATAGCAGCAGTCTGTGTTCTTCTCCACTAACAAACAAGTGTGTGCATTTCACTTTTCTCGAAACCAGATCCCACTTTACTCAAACTCATTTTCTCTAAACTGTTTGCCTTTTAAGCCGTAAACCGGGTATTATATTAGCTGTAAAAAGCATCTCACCCAAACATTCTCATCAGTGCAGCTTGTTGAAAGTGTGGCTAATCTTGTTTGATGGAGAGAAAGAGAAACCGACATTTTTCCGGCGAAAGCTGCAGTGCTGCATGACTAATTGAAACTTAATCTAAACTGACTCTAATTCTAACTAACATTCTCTTCCTCTTCTTTTTTGCAAACTAGAGAACGATTCCTCAATCGATTCATGGCTGAGCAGACGACGACGACAGCTGCTGAATCTTCTTCTTCTGCTGCCGTTGCAGCTCATCCAAACATCAAATTGGAGACTAGAGTTTGGAGTTCAGCTGATCAGTCTGCGTTTGGGACATCGTCACCATCGCCACCAGCAGCAGCAATGTTCACTCATCACCCTCAACTTCTTTCCCATTCTCCCGATGCCTGTTTGAGCCAACAAACTACCAACTCACCAGGGCTAATGGAGAAAGAAGAGGACGCAAATGAGGATTCGTTGCCAATTAAAATGGAGCACAACTCAGTAGTAATGGAATCGGGAAGCAATAGCGTTCATGGATTTGGTGGCATTTGGAATCCAGTCAACGGAAACGGTGGTAGTCCAACACCGGAAAATATTCAAGCTCAGCAGCAGCAACAACAGCCACATCCCGATCACGTGCTGATGATGAAGATGATGATTCTGCGAATGAACATGGAGCAGAAGGCGGCGGCAGCAGCAGCAGCCGCAGCTGGTCTTTTACCCGGAAACTCGATTCCTCCTTCTGTTTCGCCTACAACCAGTTTTGGACCACCACCTCCACCAACCACAACTCAGATATCAACAACAAACACAAACAACAGCAGCACCGGCAGCACTTGCACCACTCCAATGGTCGATCCAGGGCTCTTTCTGCGACTGAATGAACTTCAAATCTCTAATCAGATGGCTGCGGCGGCGGCGGCCGCTGCCTCATTTCAACAGCAGCAGCCTCAAACAAAGGGAGAAACAAATGCTGAGTCGGCGGCCACAGTCAAACCAAAGCCCAAACGCGTTCGCAAACCTCGACCACCAAACCCAAACGGCCAGCCGTCTCGAAACAGAGGCGGAGGCGGCGGAAATCGCCGATTACTTTCTTCAACTCCATCATCAGCCACAACAATCACCACCACTACCACTTCAAACACCTCTCCTATGAACAACCAAACCGCCAAAATGGTGCTCGGCCTCTCCATTGGCCCTAACCCGATCTACCGCTGTCACCTCTGTCCGTACACCGGCAACTCCAAACTGCAGTTCAACGCCCACATGAACACCCACTTTGACCACCGTTGTCCGCACTGCGACTACACCAGCCGCACTGAGGGCCGGCTGAAACGGCACATTCGCGACTTTCACTCGGAGACGCCGCCGGAAACGTGGAGCGGCAACCGGGCCCGAGACCCAGATGACGCCTGTCCTGAAGGGGCAAACGGAGGAGACGGAAGCGCTTTTTCCGGAGACGAGGGCGATGACGGTGACGGCAGTTCATGTGGCCCGAATCCTGCCCGAAACCGGAAGTACCGTTGCAAGCAGTGCAACTACGTGGCCGTGCAGAAGCACGACTACTGGGAGCACACGAAGGCGCACATCAAGACGGACAAGATGCTCAGCTGTCCGCGGTGCAACTTTGTGACCGAGTTTAAGCACCACCTCGTTTACCACCTGCGCAATCACTTCGGCAGCAAGCCCTTCAAGTGCGCCAAGTGCAACTACAGCTGCGTCAACAAGTCGATGCTCAACTCGCACATGAAGTCCCACTCTAATATCTACCAGTACCGATGCGAGGACTGCACCTACGCCACCAAGTACTGCCACTCACTGAAGCTGCACCTGAGGAAGTACGGCCACCGGCCGGCGACGGTGCTCAACCTCGACGGCACTCCCAATCCCTATCCGGTGATTGACGTCTATGGGACGAGGCGAGGGCCGAGGCCGAAGAAGGACGCACTGGCGGCGCTGGCTGCCGGCCTAGATGGGCTGATTGGCGAGGGTGATGGGGAGGAAGGTATTGAGGGTGGTGAAAATGGTGGGGGACTAGGTGGATCATCAGTCAGTGATGATGGACAGGAGTTCCTAGCTAATGGAGTTAATGAAGAAGTGGGAATGATGCTCGACTATGAAGAGGAAAAAGCTATGGACGATAACTGCAAACCACAAAATCTCTCTCTAGGATCGGTTGTTTCTAGTGAAGCTTCAGCAGTAATCATCAGTCCACCGCTTTCAATTACCACTACCAACTCTTCTCCAATCAAAGCTGAGCCCTTGAACCACAGCAACAACAGCATCAGCAACAAGAGCATCAGCAACAACAATAGCATCATCAGTCCTCGAGTCACATCATCATCTTCAACCGCAAATCTGAACACCCTAAAGTGCGACTACTGTCCCTTTCAGACTGAGTGCAAGCAGGACTTTAGCAATCACCTGCTGGAGCACGTTCGCCAGGAGAAGCAGTCGCTGGTGAGCAGTCGCAAGGCGGCAAAGGCCAAGGCAAAGGCTGCTGCTGCTGCGGCAGCAACTTCAGCCAACTCTGCTGTGCCAACTTTGCCCAACGGTTCGACAACCCCTCCGCTGACGCCGCTGACTATTTCACCGACAAATACTGCAAACTCTAAAAATATCAGACCTCATCATTCTAATCATCTTCCTCCTCTGGAGCCGCTGATTCCCGGACTGGTTGCAGTGCCGGCTCAACCTGGAATGCCCCCGTCGGCGTACGTCAACTTTTTGCCACCGTCAACTGCAAACTATCCTCATGAAGCTTTTGGATCACTTTTTGGCAATGGTAATCAACAACACTTTGGTTCAGCTGCTCATCCATCTTTTCCCGCCGGCGAGCTGACTCCCCCGACGCCCACCGTTGAGGAGACCTTTGAGATGAGCCACTCCTATCAGCATCAGCACCACAATCCCCACAATTCGTATCAGCAGAACATGCCTACCTTTAAACCACTTGATCTCAGTGGAAAACAACAGCAGCAGCAGCAGAACTTGAACACGGCTCTTCTGCATCCGCATCCGGAGATGTTGCCTGCAGCGACCAATCCAATGGCCCTCCTTCTAATGAACAGTTTCCTCCTCAACGCACAACGCAATCTAAAGGACGTGCTCGAGGCAGGCGAAAACAAAGGAGAGGAAAAGGAGGAAATGGACAAACCAAAACATCAGGCTTCAGATGAAGACGAAGAAGAACAAGGAGAAGAAGAAGAAGAAGAGGAGGAGGAGGAGGAGGAGGAGGATGAAAAAGCGGAAAAATCCTCTGCTGAAAACTACTTTGAGCAGTTGATACGCTTTCAACAAGCAAAGAATCAGATGGTTGTCGGCAATGGAGGAGAAAACAATAACCCCAATGAGGAGATGATGATGGAAAATGGTGGTGATGAAAAGGAAGCACTTCACCATCACCATCACCAACTCCCGCCGACACCGAGCAAGTCGCCCAACAAGGGCGGACAGAACATCTTTGACTTTGCTGAGGAGGAAGAGGAAGAGGGTGAAAAGTCTGAGCGACCTTCTTCAACCTCTTCAGAGCAAGCTCTGGTCATCAACGGCGGTCAGCATCCCGCATCACCACCGTCACCACCTCTGGCGCCGGCCGTCCTTCAGCTGCTCGCCCAACTGCTGCAGTCGAATCCAGGGCTGAATCCGGCACTGATAGTTCAGCAGCTTCTTCCGCAGCTGCTGCTTCTCTCGGAGAATAATCCATCGGTGCATCTCCCAGCAAACTCCTCCCCCTCGTCGTCATCACCCTCCTCGGCCTGCTCAAATCAGCAGCTCGCCAATGTGGGCACCATCCTCAGCAAGGTCTTCTCCGCCACCTCGCTGATGCAGGAGATCCTGATGGAGATGGCCGTGCGAAAGTAGAGTCAAGTTTAGTCCTTTCATTTTGCTTTCTTTACTGCATTTGTAGAATTGATTTGATTTAGTGTTTGATTTGTGTGTCACACCAACTTTTTTCCGCATTTTATTCAGTCTGTTTTTGTGCTAATTCAGTATCTCTTTCAGTATTCTTGTCATATCTTATCTGTGTGTATCTGTCAGTATGTTTACAAATGTATCTTCTACATGATCATGTTCTTCTTTAAATCTTACTATTTATAAATTACGTATTCACTAACGATTGGAATATTATCTATCATCAATGACCAATAAAAACTAAAGAATCAAAAGGATTTGAGTCTGTTACTTTTTTGCAGTAGTTGCGCTTTCTTTCCGCTAGATGGAAGCATCCTAAGAAAGCAGCTTTTAAAAACTGACACATCTTCTGCGAGCGGCCACTGCGATCTCTGTTTTGGATTTCAGATTCACGTGTTCACGCGGACGGATTTTTGTTCCCTTTTTGCTGGCCATCTTTGACTTGTCTTATCACCAAAACTGATTGGTATCTCTCTCCTCCTCTTCTTTTGGTTGTTGTGTTTTGCATCGCCATCACCAGCGCGACCACACCAGAGTGTATCACTAGAGTCGTATCACCAGCTGCCATCAACAGAGTTTTACTATCGCAAAGTACACTGCAGTGCCACCGTCGCCGCCGTTGCCGCCACTTTTCCGCCGCGTTTTTGCATCAAAGAGAAGAAGTAGCTAAAGACACCGAGAGTACTTTTTTACTCTGCTGCTGATCCTCCAAAAATGCCCAAGTGCAAGACGGTCCGCTCGGCCGCTCAGGCGACCCGAGGGGCGGTGAACGGACTGCAGAAGAAGCCTTCATCCAAAGGTGGCCGCCGGTCTTTTGACGGCCTCAGAACTGACGATACAGAGGTACATCCACAAATTGATTCAAACTGATTAACGTGACAACTAACGTTTTTCTTTTTCTCCCCTGACCAGTTCATCGACTCAAAAACGACTCGAAAAGTGCTGGAACTCGCACGGGAGCAACAAAATGAACTCGAAGAGGAGTTCGGCCTCACGGACCCGGCCGATGTGAGCCGAGCTGAGAAGAAGCGGCAGACGACGAAGCTCTCTGTGCCCTCCACCTCCAACTCTACCTCCATTTCACCGTCGGACCTTGCGGGCGAGTACTCTGACCGCGAGGACGAAGGCGGCGAGGACTACAGCTCGTTAGATGAGAACGACGAGACCACCGAGTCCTACTACGACGCCTGCTACGAAGACCTGAACATCAACAAGGAGGACGAGAAGGCGCTGGAGCTGTTCATGACGAAGGACAACCTGAAGCGAAACTCACTGGCAGACTACATCAGCAAGAAGCTGAAGGAGAAGGAGGAGGAGTTGGACACGCTGCTCACCGAGGAAGGTCAACAGGACCAGAAGGGCCCCAAGGTGGGCGACCTCGACGAGCGCGTCGTGGAGCTGTACCGGGGCGTGAAGCTGGTGCTCAGTCGGTACCGCAGCGGCAAGCTGCCCAAGGCCTTCAAGATCATCCCCGCGCTGAACAACTGGGAACAGGTGCTGCACATCACCGAGCCGGACTGCTGGTCGGCTGCGGCGATGTTCCAGGCCACTCGCCTCTTCACCTCCAACCTCAAGGAGAAGATGGCGCAGCGCTTCTACAACCTCATCCTTCTGCCCCGTTTGCGAGACGACATTGAGGAGTACAAGAAGCTCAACTTTCACCTCTACCAGGCGCTGACGAAGGCGCTTTTCAAGCCAGGTGCCTTCTTCAAGGGCATCATTCTGCCGCTGTGCGAAGCGGGCGATTGCACCCTCCGCGAGGCAGTCATCATCGGCTCGGTGATGGGCCGCAATCACATCCCGCTGCTGCACAGCTGCGCCGCCATGCTGAAGATCGCCGAGATGGACTACAGCGGCGCCAACTCCGTCTTCCTCCACCTGCTGATCAACAAGAAGTACTCGCTGCCGTACCGCGTCGTGGACGCCCTCTTCTACCACTTTTACCGCTTCATCAACGACAAGCGGGCGCTGCCAGTCCTCTGGCACCAGTGCCTCCTCGCCTTTGTGCACATCTACAAGGCCGACCTGTCGCAGGAGCAGAAGGACTCGCTGCTGGAGCTGCTGCGCGTCCAGTCGCACCACCAGATCTCGCCGGAGATTCGCCGCGAGCTGCTGCACTCGAAGAATCGTGATGGCAGTGAGTTTGCTGAGGCTGGTGAGGGAAGTGGTGAGCAGGGAACTTCAATGGACGCCTCATAGGCAGTTGTTTGGAGCGGTTTGTCAGCGATTGCAATTTCGTTTTCAGCTATATCTTCTTTATACCTTCTCTCTCCTTTTCTCATAATTACGATGCACACAATACCTTTTTATATAACCCCTTTCCTTTTTAGCAAACTGATGATTGTTGTTTTCTTTTATCTCCGCCTCTGTCATGTATATTTTGATTGTGGAAATTAAATTGCAAAAATTAAGAGCAAACCTGTTTGAGTGATTACTTTTTACTCCGCCCAACTAGAACGGAAAAACAGGTAAAAACGTTGTAGAATTTGGAATCTGAACTAATTTCCTCTTTTCTCTTTACAGACACTCAAATTTGGTTTCCTACGTTTTATGTAAACGATTGCACGACTGTGCAATGTTGCAGTCGCTTGTAATGTCTCCGTTTTTGCCCTAATGTGCTCCCGTTTCCTGTGTTCCACAGCAGAACATGTTCTCAATGTCAGCCTGCGGTGTTGATCAAATAACGAGCACACATTGGGGGAGTATGTTCACACCATGCATTCATTCACACAATTTTCTCGGCGTACTGGTCTTCAGAGAGAAACGAGAGAGGAGCTCCTTTCAGAACGGAATTCTCCAAATAGAAATCACACACGTCTGAGCAAATCCACAACGAGCACTGAGGTCACGCTTGGACGCCCTCGGAGGAAAACAGAGCTGCTACAGCTCGGAGATTAGCAGCGGCAGCTGACCCTCACCTTCAACACTTGCACTACCGCTCTGCCGTGGCAGTAGCAGCAATCCCCTTCTTCTTCACCTCTTCCTCCCCCTCCCCCTTCTTCCTGGCGTCAAAAAATACCTGTACCTGAAAATGTAAGAGTCTTGTCCACGTGATTGCTCCAGTGTAGTGGACACAACTTATTTGCTGCAGTCGACGACCACCACCGTNTCACACACGTCTGAGCAAATCCACAACGAGCACTGAGGTCACGCTTGGACGCCCTCGGAGGAAAACAGAGCTGCTACAGCTCGGAGATTAGCAGCGGCAGCTGACCCTCACCTTCAACACTTGCACTACCGCTCTGCCGTGGCAGTAGCAGCAATCCCCTTCTTCTTCACCTCTTCCTCCCCCTCCCCCTTCTTCCTGGCGTCAAAAAATACCTGTACCTGAAAATGTAAGAGTCTTGTCCACGTGATTGCTCCAGTGTAGTGGACACAACTTATTTGCTGCAGTCGACGACCACCACCGTCGTCGTCGTCGTCCAGCTCAAGGTGATCGGAAGCAGGATTTGTGCTTCGTTGGCTTCCGTGCACGAGACGCCGCTGTACTGCTGCTGCCGCTGCTGCTGCTGCTGACCAGAAACCAAGCAAACTGACTAAGTTTCGCCTGAAAATACCACCACGACCACCAGCAACAAATTGTCACTTGCTGTATTGCAATGAATGCCCGAAATAGCAGCAGCAGCAGCAGCGAAAGCTGTCAAAAACTGACTACTCAACTGGAGCTGAAGAGTGAGTGAGGTAGAGGAAATGACCACACTGCTGACAAATTGTATACCTGCTTGTGTGTGTATTACTTGCATCGGTAGAGCTTACATTGCCAGAAATGTCCAGCCAGTGTCCACTACCGCTGCTAATTGGACTAACACTAGATACTGACACTGACAGACTGTGGTGGTGGTAAACTTCCACTGAGTTTACCACCTCTACCTCTACTACTCAATGGGTTGTTTTGCTGGTAGAGGTGGTGGTGGTGGAAGTCGTAGAGAGTGGAAGTGTCTTCAGCCTGTCACTTTCTATCACCACCACCTCCGACGACGACGGAACTGATCGCCTAGAGCAGGAGGCGGTGGCCGAGGTATAAAAGGCTGACTCGAGGTGAACGACAGTCATCCAGTGTGTGTCCACTTGCAGCCAACAGCAAACAACAACTTGTACAACTTAACTTTTTTGTGTCAGTGTTGCTCAACTTTGGTGCTTTTCAGTTGATCAACACTTTGCAGCTTTCTCAAAACCAACTTTTCGTCTACTTCAGACAACCCCCGCCAAACCAACCAACCAACCAACCAGCAAGATGAAGTTTCAGCTGATCCTCCTCGCCGTCTGCCTCGGTGCCATCGCCGTCCACGCCCAGGACCTGGATGAGGCCGCCTCGGAGATGGACCTCGACATGGCCGCCTCGGGTGGCGGTGGCGTGGCCGCCGGTGCCGCTGGAGCAGGTAAGTGTCTTATCAGCTGATCTGGTTACCACAAACCATCATCATCTTCATCATCATCCTCGGCTCAACTTGACACTTATCCTCTTTCAACTTTTTAGCGGGAGCCAAGTTTGCGAAGGGAGGCGCGGCTGGTGCCGCCGCCAAGGGAGGCGCCTTCGGTGCCGCTGGTGCTAAGGCTGGAGGCAAGAAGGGATTTGCCGCCGGAGCTGCCGCTGGTGCTGCTGGTAAGTTTGGTGTTAGCATTTAAAAACTCTTTCAAAAACTTAAAAATTTTTTCATCAGGATTCAAGAAGGGAGGTAAGGCTGCCGGTGGTGCTGCCGCTGCGGCTGGCTTCAAGAAGGGCTTCAAGGCTGGCAAGTTCGGAAAGATGGGCGCTGCTGGATTCAACAAGAAGTTCGGCGCAGTGAAGACCTTCGGCATGGCCCAGGGCTTCAAGTTCGGCAAGGCTGGTGGTGCTTTCGCTGCTGGTGGTGCTGGTAAGTGACCAGTGTTGAAACATTCAGCTTTAACAAAGTCATCTTAATTAATTCTTTTCTTTTTTCAGCTGGTGCCGCTGGAAAGAAGGCTGCTTTCGGCAAGGCCGGTGGTGCTGCTGGATTCAAGAAGGCCGCCGCTGGCAAGAAGGCCGGTTTCGCCGCTGCTGCTGGCGCCAAGGGAGGCAAATTCGGTATGTTTTTTAGGATAACTTTTTGTTTTTCATTTAAAACTAAATCGCCAATTCTTCCACAGGCAAAGCCGCTGCCGCCGGAGGTTTCAAGAAGTTCGGCGCTGCTGGGGCAGCTGCCAAGGCCGCCAAGGGCGCCAAGGGTGGAGCTGGTCTCATTGGTTAGACGACGATCAAGAGAAAGACCTAGACGACGGATACCAAAGATTTCTTTCGCATCCCTCTTTTCAATTTTCAATNCAAAGGAGGCAAATTCGGTATGTTTTTTAGGATAACTTTTTGTTTTACATTTAAAACTAAATCGCCAATTCTTTCACAGGCAAAGCCGCCGCCGCCGGAGGTTTCAAGAAGTTCGGCGCTGCTGGGGCAGCTGCCAAGGCCGCCAAGGGCGCCAAGGGTGGAGCTGGTCTCATTGGTTAGACGACGATCAAGAGAAAGACCTAGACGACGGATACCAAAGATTTCTTTTGCACCCCTCTTTTCAATTTTCAACTTTTTCCTTCTTCTTTTCAATTCTATCAGCAAGCATTCAATATCAACCTTTAGTTTTCCTCAGCCAGCCATTCAACTCCCAAAAGTTACTAAACTGTACATAATCTGTCACCTTAGCTTCTCTTCAGCATCGGCTCTGTTGCTGTCTCAGAGACGCAAGGTGTCTTTCCTCTACCACCACCACCACCTCTAAATTGCCCTGCTCCTTTTTCCGCTAATAGTTTTGTTTTTCCAATTCAATAGTTTCCAATTAAAATTATTTTGCCGTTAATCAAAGAAAAGAGTTGAGTTTATTTGTTGTTCGGAATGCTCATCAAAGTGTAAGCCACTAGCTCATTGCCCAGCAGTTTTGTTAATTTAAACAGCCAGTGAAATAAAACTGATTGGTCAACAAAAAAGTAAAAGGCAAATTACAAAACAAATTTAAAAGTTTAAACCNTTCAGCATCGGCTCTGTTGCTGTCTCAGAGACGCAAGGTGTCTTTCCTCTACCACCACCACCACCTCTAAATTGCCCTGCTCCTTTTTCCGCTAATAGTTTTGTTTTTCCAATTCAATAGTTTCCAATTAAAATTATTTTGCCGTTAATCAAAGAAAAGAGTTGAGTTTATTTGTTGTTCGGAATGCTCATCAAAGTGTAAGCCACTAGCTCATTGCCCAGCAGTTTTGTTAATTTAAACAGCCAGTGAAATAAAACTGATTGGTCAACAAAAAAGTAAAAGGCAAATTACAAAACAAATTTAAAAGTTTAAACCGCAAAACCCGAATAGTCGACTTGATCACCGTGCAGGTAGAACAGCTGGCTACTGTCCACCATTTCCGAAGGAATCTCTTCTACAGCACACCGCTTCCAGTGAAGACGGTAATTCTCGGCTGTTTCACAAGCAGATCTATATGTAGGACAGGTCAAACAAAGAAGAGGCTGCTTTTTGCTGTGAATGGCAAAGAAAACTTTCTGCTCTTTTTCGATCTTTTCTTCATTGTCGTCATTAACTGGATCTCCTTCATTTAGCGGTCCTTTTTTCTTCTCCTCTCCCTGAAAGACTTGAAGCTCGAATTGGTCTGCCAAGTCGCTGTTGCAGTCGGTGAAGTCGTTGCCTGTCCCGAAGAGTTCACTGTAGTTGGCGTGTCGGGAGATGATGCAGCGCCAGCCGTCAGTCACAGGCTCAGCAGTGGGCTCAGAGTAGTCGTACTTTTGGATGGCAAGTCGACCTTCTGTGTCAAGTGACCAGCGCAAACTAAAGCTGAAATGACTGTACTCAGGAAGGCCATCCCAGGCACCGGATAGAAATTCGTCTAAGTTGCGGTCTACCACCTTAAAGCGAATATGAACCGGAGAAGTCGATCGATTGCTCAGCAGGCTGACTGTCCGCTGCTGCAAAAAGGCGGTGTGAGCATCTTGTGTTGAAACACCTGAAACTACAACAAAATTAAGAATAAAAAGTGTTTAATTTTGATGAATGCACAATGCAAACCTTTTTTGATGATTTGGTCTCCGAAAAGGACCACCACCAGGGGGATGAAGACGGAGAGTGTGAGGAGGAGGATGGCACTGGTGGCGACCACCTTCAAGAAACAGTTTTGCCTCTTCAGTTGTTGCATCTTTTTGAAGGTTCTGACTTCAAACTCAATCTTCTTTTCGGCGAAGTCATCACAGTCAGCAGAGTCACCCTTTTCACCGTTAATGCTATTGCTCATTTCCATTGAGATGCTTTTCTGGTAGGTTTTTACTAGAATGAAAAAAATGATCTGTGACAAGCAATTTGCCTACTGGACACTCAACCATAACATAGTTTTTAGAGCAAATATACTTTGCTAAACTTTGCTTTCAGTGTTGCTGATAGCAGAAAAACTGCTAGAACTTGAGAGCTGAACAGTTCAAAGTATCACAGCCACTATCACATTGTGACCACCAGCTGACCACTAATCTAACATTTCAGTTTTTTGTGTTGATTCAAAGAAAATGGACATAAAGTTTTGTTGATTTAGAAGAAAAATGACAAAACAAGTCACAAATTTTTGCCATAAACAGAATATTTGCTTGTAAAACATTAGTTTTTGTTCCCAAAAGCGAAAACCAGCTCAAACTGAAGAGCGAGAGTAGTCAACGTCCTCACCGTGCAGGTAGAACAGCTGGTTCTCGTTGACCATTGCCGGAGGAAGAGCACTTTCCACTGAACACCGCTTCCAGTAAACTTCATCAGCACCGTTGGCCTGGCACTTACCCCCCGGACAAGTCAAACAGAGGTTGGGCTGTTCTTTGCTGCGGAAGGTGAAGAAGACGGGAAAACTAGACGATCCGGTGGGTTGACTGGTTGCAGGGCGGCGGCGAAGGAGGAAGGTTTGCTCCTCCACTCGAAGCTCAAATCGAGCCGCCGAGTGGTTGCTGCAGTCGGTGAAGTCGCCAAGGCGTTCATTCACACTCGCCTCATAAGAGATGCTGTAGTTGGCGTACCGGGCGACGCACTGCCAGTTGGGCCCTAGCTCCACCACGTGCTCAGTCGAGTAGTGTTGGGGGTAGTAGTGAATGGGAGAGAAGTCCATGCCGGCGAGACGACCCTCAGCGTCTAGCGACCAGCGCGAGACTTTGTAGTCCCTGATAGCATCGCAATATTCGGTGTGAAGGATGGAAAAAGAGGTCATCATCGTCTGACAGCGAGCCAGGCAGATGGGGTGGCCTGGTGAGGGTACCTTGCAGCGAATCTGCACGGGCAAAGATGATCGGTTGCTCAGCAGGCTAACTGTACGGCGCTGCAGAAAGGCGATGGTAGCATCAGCTTCTTTCAGGTCCTGCTCTGTAATGGTTCACAGAAAAAAGAGGGATTAATTTTAATTCCATATAAGAAAACTTTGTCACCTTTTTTCAAAATTCGATCACTAAAAAAGACAATCAGAAAGACTAGTAAAGTGAGAGCTAAGAGGACGACGGCACTGATGGCAACCACCTGCAAACGTTTGCTTTGCCTTTTCAGCTGTTGAATCTGTTTGAAAGTTCTGGTATCAAATACAATCTTCTCTTCTAGTGGATCACCACCACTGGCATCATCATCTTTTGCTGTTTTGC